GTAGTGTAGGAGTAGGTTGGAAGAAAGTTAGGGGCGGTCAGACCAAAACATGGCTGAAATCCATGAAGTCATTGACGAGTGGACTTAGCCATGTCGGTAATTGTCAACTACCTGGTTGGGGTCCGCGAGATGATAATAATCGATGGTTAGAGACCTTCAATGACATGGCTCAAAATCGTTCGCAGTGGCGCCGGTGCATTTGTTCTTTGTGTTCTCTCAAATCTTAATCTTCTGGGTTCTTCAACCCCTCTAGTTTTGACTTTCTAAACTTTCCTCATTTAATCATACTTGAATAATATCTTCTAATCCTAACCTCTTCGATTACTTCTAACACCTTTAGTACCTCTTCTACTATTGGATTTGAATTGACAATTATATCTCTGTGCTAATGTGGTATAGCAACATGAGCTGATGTACTTACGTACGAAGTTCTACGTTGCATCTGACTGACTGACTGACTCTTCTTAATTGGCATTAAAACTATAATTCTTAGTCTATCTGTTATAAGTAGCTTATTTCATAATTTCTTTTGTTTTCATTAATACTCCATATATTTTCATTTTCAGGTGCACAATTTATTTCTATGGATGATGTATTTGATAATGAAATATCTGATGTTCATTCAGAATTAAAAGTCGGATCAAGAGACTGGGAACGTCGTGCTGGAGAAGTTTATAGTGCAGGTATACGGGAAGGATGTTTCGCTAAAAATGACACTATTTTACAAAAACAATTTGATATCGGTATCGAACAAGGATTCGCATCGACGTTTGAACTAGCAGTTTTAAGAGGACGCTTATCAGTAAGGTTATACTATTCAACGGGTGAAGAAAAATCGAAAATTAAAAATCTTGTTAAGTCAATTGACGAAAAAGAAAAACAGCTTATGTCACTTGGTTCTGTAGACAAAGATATCACTTACCAACAGCTTGTACGTGAGGCTGAAATTCTTCTAAAATCCTAGACAGCAAACTTATGGGAGATTTTTGTACATATATATGATGCTTTTCCTTATTTTGTTTCATATTACTACTTTTACTATTCTTTACAATATTTAATCATTTTTGGTCTCTTTATTTGATGGGTCAATTAAATATACTCTATTTCCCCCAAAGTTGCGTTGAGAGTTTCAGAAAAAATGGGTTAGAAATACGTGAATGTATTATGTCCAGTTCTCAAACAATTGTGTTTAATGATTACAGTTTAAACTGTACCTTTACACCATTCAACCCGTGTTGTAGAGTAGTATTACTGGCTCTTACAAATAAGTTGTCAGATAACAAAGTAGACAAACGGTAATTGGTTGTCCAAGTAGATTAAAAATATACTAACATTCAAGTGTTGGACAAATATTTTAGGAATAAAAACATCTTATTAACTGGCTTCAAATTGCGGCTTAGTAATTAGGGCTTTGTGTTGTCAGTCACTAAATGGGAAGTTCGAATTCTGCTCCACCTACCCTGGTTTAATTAGTCATCTACTATGATTATCCTGAGATTGAAGGAATTATCTGATTTCAAGCCATGTACTTAGAATCGCCAACCTCTACTAATGACGCTTATACACATAGTAATCTAGAAGAGAGCAAAAACAAAGGCTGGTGCAGAGCAGTATGAATCCATTTTATTTTGTTTGGTTTTTATAGGCTGCTCACAACTTGTAATATCTTATCATCAAAATTTTCATAGAAATCGACGCATTCATAAATAAAGTGAATCATGATGTTACGAAGTCTTGAATAAAGTCACTATGGTCGAAAATATGTTAAGTGTCAAAATGAAAGTTCCAGAATATCGAACCAGTGATTAAAAATTTCGAGACATCCTAATATACAGGACATCAGGTGGGCATATTACAGTCATTCATGGTGATTAGTAAGTAAGTAATCGAGTCTCCATCCGAAATTTGTCGAAGCTGTAGCCATCAAACGTGTGAAACCGGATTTGTGTACAAAAAGAACCACTAATAAATCTTTTCTTGCCCTGGTAACATTTCATTCATTCTGTTACACCTCCTACTTCCTCTCTCTCTCATGCTTTGATTACGTTCTCATTTTCGACGAGCTATGTTTTGTGGTGTAGGAGTAGGTTGGAAGAAACCTAGGGGCGGCTAGACCAAAACATGGCAGATATGCATGAAGTCACTGACAAGTGGGCTCAGTCATGTTGGTAGATGTAGGCTACCTGGTTGGGGTCCGCGAGAAGAAAGTCACCAATGGTTAGAGACCTTGAACGACATGGCTCAAAATCGTTTGCAATGGCGCAAGTGCATCCATTCGTTGTGCTCTCTCAAACCCTAATCTTCTGGATTCGTCAGCACCCCTACCTTTGTCTTTCTAACCTTATCTCACTGAATTATACTTCTTGAATAATATCTTCAAACCCTAGTCTTCTTCATTACCATTAATACCTCTTCTATCTTTATCACTATGGGATTTGATTTGACATGTGCGTCTCTGTGTTAATGTGGTATGGCAACATGAACTTATGTACATACGTACGAAGTTCTACGTTGCAACTGACTGACGTTCTCATTTTTCTTGAATTCATGATTCCAATTGATTGATTTCAACTCATTTTATTCTTCATCATCATTAAATCTTATCTCGGTTACTTCCTTATACAACCATCTAAATAATGTTCACTCTTTGATTTTTTATCATTAGTTTGATATTCAGGGACTTTTTTCATACAGTGTATTTGTAACATATTTTTATGACAGCATTAACTCTGTGTCAATTTCTATGATAATTCTGATTTTGAAATATTTTAGGTTGTAAGTGGTTGATGAGAACCTAATGAAATAAAATGGATTCATATTATTCTGCACCAATCCTTGCTTTTGCTTTCTACAAGATAATAGTCTTTATTTGATCAACCTTCAACTAGCGAAATAATGGTTCACACTATGTAACATATATTTCAATCTTAGCAGCTAGTTGTTATTATCCGCATCCTAGGTGTAAATCTCATTCTGGTATCTGGACATGCATAATTATTGAGTTGTTCCTGATATAAAGATAGTAATATTCTCTCTGATGAGTTGATAAACCGATAGAACATAGAACTAAATTACATAACTGTTACAACTGTTGCTACTTTTTTCAATAGTGAATGGAGGAAAAAGTATTGATGGTGAAGCAGGGTGTGAGATTATAATTAATTACCTACTGTGTAATAGCGACAAAGTACGCTTGCCTGTGACATTTAACTTACTTGCATCTACCATAGTATCGAAAAATTAACCCACTGTCTTTCTCATGTAATATGTATGATAATCCACAGATCCTGATCAGTTATTTTGTTTTGGTCATGGTTATATGGATTAGAGATCACATCTAAATAAATTATAAATAACGTTTTCACAACTAGTGAACTTCTTGTTCATACTTACACCTGTTACCCCTAATGGAGCTTAAGCCGTCAACCAACATTCTTCAAGGTACTCCGTCCTGGGCCTTCCTTTCTTGCTCTGTCCAATTTTTGTTCACTCTTCTAGGAGTAATGTATTTTTTTGGTCTTCCTTTTTTCCTTTGGCCTTGAGGATTCCAGGTGAGGGCTTCTCTTGAGACTCAGTTGGATGCTTTCCGTAATGTGTGTGCTATCCACTTCCAGAGCTTCTTCCTGATCGTGAGGCGAAAGGTTGTATGAAATGCTACTTTTTCAACAGTGAGTATTTGAACCTTGTAAAGTTTTTTTAAATGAACACTCAACAAAGTAGTGCATCGGCCTCCAGCAAGATCTGATATAATATAACATATCGGTCAAATGTTGGTAAAAAATCGAGAATTTTGATCGATTGTCAACCATCGCTGCACCCTCTGAGGATTCCAAATGACGGCTTGTCTTGTGACGCAGTTAGGTGTTTCCTGTAATATATGTCTTATCCACTTCCAGCTCTTCTTGATTTCTTCCTCCGCTGGAATCGGGTTTGTTCTCTCCCAGAGTGGGTTGTTGCTGATGGTGTCTGGTAAGCGGATCCGAAGTATTTTTCGTAAGCAACTGTTAACGCACACATGTATCTTCTGGATGATGGCTTTGGTAGTTCTCCAAGTTTCCGCCCCTCACAGTAAGAGTCACTTGACATTTGTATTCAAAATTGTGACTTTGGTGTTTGTTAACAGTTGTTTTGAGTTCCAGATGTTCTCCAGCTGTAGAAATGCTGCCCTTGCTTTTCTGATCCGCGCCTTCACACCTGCATCAGATCCACCCTGCTCACTAACGATGCTGACCACATATGTAGGGTTTTTACATCTTCCAAAGCTTTGCCATCAAGTGTGATTTGGTTGGTGTATGTTGTGTTGAGTCGGAGGGTCTTTCTTTTTCCCTCCTGTATGTTGAAAGCTACAGTGGTCGCCTTCTACCGCATTTGTTGTTGTGTGTGGGATAGAAGAGCCAGATCCTCTGCGAAGTCTAAGTCGTCCAGCTGCATCCTAGCTGTCCACTGTATCCTATGCTTTCTCGCAAGTGTTGATGCCTTCATAATCCTGTCAACCACTAGAAGTAAGAAAAACGAGTGAGAGTAGGCAACGTTGTCTGATGCCGGTCTTCTTTAGAAATGAGTCTGTTACCTGTGTTCCATGCACGATTTTGAAGATTAGTGCACCACCCGAATTCCATATGATGTCGACTAACCTCTCACATACGCCGTATTGTCCAAGAAGCCTCTATAGTGTCATTCTGTCCATGCTATTAAATGCTTTCTCATAGTTAAGCAAGGATGACGTACAGATGTGAATTCCATTCAATTGATTGTTGCACAGTGATCCTCAGTGTCACAATTTGGTCGGCCTTTACGGGATCCTGCCTGCTGATCTCAAAATTGAAAGCCCAGTGAATCTTTCATTCTGTTTAACAACTCTCTGGTACTGATAGTAAAGTGATGTCTCTGTAGTTCTCACACTTACTGAGATCTTTCTTTGGTATCTTGGTTTGGTATCCTTCCTTCCAGTCTGCTAATACTTTTTCTTCCTCCCACATCTTGCTGAAGAGAATGTAGAGTATCTTCGTAATTACTGTTATAGATCTTCCATAGATTTATGTTTGTTGGCTTTGATGCTCCTCTTCAATTACTTGTTTGCTTCTGTGTATTCAGCTAGTTTCTTGGCTTTCTCTGCTCTTGTTCGTCTGGTATTGATTGCAGCCTTCGTTGCTTGTGATGGTGCTTTTTTTTACCCGAAACCTCCTGACATGTTGAAGTGATTGCTTCCTTGACCCTTTTCCAGTTGTTCTCCATGTTAGTTTCTTCTCCACTGAGTAAATCGTGAAAGGCTTAAAACTTATTGCTGAGAGCTACCTGAGATTCGTTGAGTTTGCTAGAATATCGAAGAAAAGCAGTATTACACTTTTTTGATGTTGTTCGCCCGTTTGTCCAGTGCCTCTTCAGTTTCAGTTCCATTTTGTCCACAACCAATCGGTGTCAGCTATGTCAGCTCCCCTCTTAGTCCTAAAGTCCTCCGTGGTTCTTTCGAACTTTTTACTGATACAGATGTGATCGATAATGATCTCCGCAGTGTGTTCCGTTGAAACCCATCTAACTTGGTGTATTCGTTTGTGTGGAAATACGGTGCTGCCTGTGATCAGTTTTTGTTGCAAATCTCTACCCGTTTTTGTTACTTTCTCCTATTCCATGTCGCCCCATGATGTCTTCATATCGATTGTTGTCTATTCCAACCTCGGCATTTAAGTCTCCCCTCAGAATGGTCAAGTCCTTTGCTGGACATTTCTCGACTATTAACTGCACTCTCCCGTCTAATCGGTCGTTAAAGTCTTTATTTTTATCGTTGGTAGGCGCATAGCGCTGCATGATGTTCATTGTAATACCCTCTTTTTTTGTTTTGAAGGGTGCTTTGATGATCCTGAGATCATGAGCTTTCTATCCTATCGGTGCTTTTTGTGCTTGTTTGGACAGCATCAGTGAAAGTCTGTATGTGAGGCATTTCCTTCTTCATCTCTCCTAAATCTA